TTAACAAAATCCTGTGCAACCCAACACAAAATAGCAGCCGGTTCTTGCAGTAGAAGAGTTATGGCCTTGCTATCTTTTCATCCCAGAATGACTAACGGAGGGTTAAGCAACTGGCCCTGACTGATAACCTATGGATAAAGAAAGGGAATTTCACCAAGTCCCCTGCATTCAAGGGAGCCAGAATGCAATCAGCAATGTGTCTTATCTATTACTAAGTAGATACTGAAAAAGAAAGAAAGAAAGAAGGAAAGAAGGAAAGAAGAAGGAAAAAAGGAAAGAAAGAAAGAAAGAAAGAACGAAAGAAAGAAGAGGGAAAGAAATTTCTAAATGATTAGTACCATCAAATGAATCTGAATGCATACGTTTTACAGATAATAAAGCTGCAAGGGACAAACTCTACTAAATTTGAAAATGTGTTAGAGACCTTGAGTTCAACGGCTACAAGTTTTTAAGTTGCCGTCCATCAATATTTCTGAGTATGTACAGCACTTGTTAAACGAAAAAATTAAGCAGTGTTATATAATATGAAACTTCAAACTGAAAAAGCAAAACATATTCTACAGTGACACCTACCGGCAAAGGGTAATGTACCAGCCTGACAGAACCAGACAAACCGAGGCTTCTATATCCCTGGAGCACGTTAGAAGAAGCTACAGGCAAAGACTTAATGATCCTCAAAACGGAAAAGCTAACCCAAGAAAAACATTACACACACCAGTGTCCGTAAGCTACAAACTAAGCCCAAAAGGCCATCATGATCCTTCCTAACCAAAAATGTTCTAATCAAGAAATCTGAAATAGGTTTCCCTTGGCCCCACCTGGCCAGTTAAATTTTTACATGCAGATAAAAGACAAGACGTCCACTTTACTCAGGTTTATTTTATATTTTAAGTAAAACCGAAGAGGTAAAACTGAGCTCTGTATGCAACTAGATATTTTATCAGTTTTCAATTTAAGTTGAAGATGTTAAATGAAAAGTAGACACTTGCTTTAAAAAATCTGTTCTAGGGGTGCCTGGGCGGCTCAGTCGGTTAAGCGTTCGACTTCGGCTCATGCATCTCACGGTTCGTGCGTTCGAGCCCCGCATCCGGTTCTGTGCTGACTGCCAGCTCAGAGCCTGGAGCCTGTTTCTGATTCTGTGTCTCCCTCTCTCTCTGACCCTCCCCTGCTCATGCTGTCTCTCTCTCAGAAATAAATAAAACATTAAAAAAAAAATCTGTTCTATAAATCCCCTAAGTCCAACTTTTCAACACAATGATCACAAAGAAAAAGAGAGGGCCAGATAACCATTTTTTCCTAAAATGCATGTTTCAAAGTCCTCCCCCCATTATACAAAAATTTTAAGAAATAATGTCTAATGTGATCAATGTCATCAACGTCAGACTGTCAATGCAAAATGTCTCAAAAAACTTACTACTTGAGCCCATGTGCTCCTTCTCAAACTAAGATTTTCAAATGTGCTACTTCAAACACAATTTTAGTCGAATTGGTGATGTGAAAAAAAGCATACTTTTATTAAATAACTAGTTGCAGTATGCCACAGACTGAGCCAGAAAGGAAGAGATAATCTGCAGAAGGAAATGGATGATCTATTTCAACTCTAAAACTCCCATAAAATCTCCCAAATTAGAGGACCCCCAATTCAAGTATCATGGTCTAATGAATGAATGACAGAAAACAGGAGTTCTAGCCTCAAATCTCCCATTAACTAGTTGGGTTTCTAAGAGCTATGCAACCTTTAATAAACAGTACAACTTTATGGGCATTAATTTCCTCATCTGTAAAATTAGAGGAGGGAACTGAATGGGCCGTACGGTAATGCCACTGCTAAAGTTTCTTCAGCTTCTATGATTTCTCCAGCAGATGAGAACAGTTTGGGAATCAATGTCTACACCTCAGCGACTCCAGGAACACAGCAACAAAAAGGAAGTCAGCTTTATGTTTCAGGTATAACCTGCTGTAGGCAAGAAGTATAGACAGAATCACACTGTCGCACTGTATGCCGTGTAACTGCTTAAGGCTGAAGAATCCTTGTTTCCAGCTCCAGTACATTCCATCCGGCACACAGTCAGAACTCCGCATTTACCACAAAAGCTACAGAAAAAGAATACTTACTATGTACCATGCAAGACCCCAATACCAACTCTTTAAATGTTTTGTGTTTTGTTTTGTTTCTGTAACATAGTTACATATTCTCTCTTATATACCAAGTCTTTTCAGGACAATTATGAAATCAATGTGAACAATGCTTCAAAGGCTGCATTTCCTCAAATATGGACAGGGCTAGCTCTTAAATATTTTTGAGTATGAAAGTCAGACTATATTAAATTAGACTGTAACACTTTCTAAATGTATTATCTGCCTGTTAAAACTCGCTCAGTGGCTCAGTTGGTCAAGCCTCTTGGTTTCAGCTCAGGTCAGGATCTCAGGGTTCATGAGTTCAAGCCCCATGTCAGGCTCTGTGCTGACAGTGCCAAGCCTGCTTGGGATATTCTTTCTTTCTCTCTCTCTCTCAAAATAAATCAATAAACTTAAATAAAACTGGTTCAGTTATTGAACCCGTAGTGGTGGGAACACAATACACATTCCCGAGTACTAATTCTAACCCAGTAGAGTCCATTTACAGTTACATCTGCAGACGCAATCAGCCCTCTCTACCCGTGAGTATGAGGGGTAAAATGGAACAAAGATGCGCTTCACTGGTAAACAGCTACAGAATACTTCTGACAGCAATTAACATTAACAGTGAACAATTAACAGTCTTGTGCATCAGCGTTCCTGCTTGGTGTTTAGGCTCTTCTCATTTAGAAATATTTTAACCGACAGCCAAAGCCACCTGGGACCAGCGTACGCGGCTGGCTGGCATTTAAGGACAAGTAACAAAGGGACACAAACTTTTTTTTACGTCAAAGATGAATTAATAGGCTTTTTTTTTTTTTTTTTTACTTTAGAGAGAGAGAGAGAGTGTGTGCACACACAGGAGCAGGAAACAGGGAGAGGGAGAGAGACGGGGAGAGAGAGAATCTTAGCAGGTACCACGGCCGTGCGGGGCTGGATTCCACCGCCCTGGGATCGTGACCGGAGCTGAAATCAAGAGTCTGACTCAACCAACAGAGCCACCCAGGCTCCCCTAATATGCTTTCTTTTAACTTCAAATTGTGTGTATCTTTTTCCATTTACAAGTAATAGCTTTTAGAGTGTACATTTGTGCAAAGACGTTAATTGCATTATGTTCACCATTTAAATTGATTCGTTAACTCCTTAATCAAATATTTACTGAGCATCTATTATGGTCTAGGACTCTTCCAGGAGTTGGGAATAGAAATGAACAAGAGGGGAAGGTAAGACAGGAAGACATTACACAAAAAGATACTTTCACAAGGTGGTAAGTGCTATTTAAAAAATTAATTCTTTGAAGCAGGATTAGAGTTATCTGAGTTATTTTCTTTTACCAATGAAACGATTATGTGCAGACCTCAGAAACAAAAGTCTAACTCATTTCAAAACGATCATTTGCTCACAGCCATTCATACACATGTGTACTGCAGTTTCAATATCCTACATGAGTCAAGGAAGTACAAAAGAGACTGAGAACCACTGAAATATGAGATGAAACAGATTTAAAACATCTGCACTGTTCTCTTTGCTGGGTAAGCACATGGAGGAAAAAAGGTGAATGTCCAACGCATTTTTTTTTTTTTTTAAAGAGAAGACAAAGTGAAAAAATAGCGAATTCGCCCAGTATTCTACGGTATTCTAGGATATGTTACAGGCAACTACAACGCATGTTTAGAAAGCTGCATAAAAGCAAAAATATTTAAAATAATTTGCAAGACCATTCAAATCACTCCCCCCCCCCGCGCGCGCATACACACACACACACACACACACACACACACACACACACACGATTATTGACTTGCTCTTGAAAGCTGCTGGTTTGGCAAGAACTTATTTTCTCCGACTCTGGCTCATGTCCAAACTCTCCGAAATCTGCGAGGCAAAGGTAGGCTGGTTCTCTTAGCCGTACTCCGCTCCGCGCGAAGGCAGGGAAGAGCGGGCGGCCACGTCCCCCCGGCTGCGCCCCACGCCCCGCAGGTGAGGGCCCGGCGGGAAGGCCCCCAGGCCGCGCGCCCCGCCCGCCGAGCGCGGCCTCCGCCCCGCGCCCCAGAAGGAGCGACGCGGGGGCGGCGGAGCTGCCGGCGGGACCCGGGGACGCGGAGCGGCGGCGCCCCC